GTTGAAAAGGTCTCGGTGACACATAAAGTGAATTTCGGAAATTGAAGTCTTTGGCAGACGATTGTAGGTAATGGTACCACCTTCTATGACGCCATGGCGCCTCTCGTACAAGTAAGGGAGCTACCGGTAATACCCAAAGCTATATCCATGTCAACGCAAAAGGTACGACCGAAAGAAAATGGCTTACATTAGGGTTCTCGAGTTCCATGCGTCCAGGACCCGGAACCTGAAGCAGCAACTTGAAGCATCGGCATGACCCTACGAGTTGATTGGAGGCCAATTTCCTTTCTTGCTAGAGCAGAGCAAGTAGAGTTTCGACTGATGGATTCGGAGAATAATTTCGTCAAATTGGAGATGAAGAACATCTCTCCTCTCTATCTACTTCGTACACACAGATCAGAGACGGGAGATCTGTATTCGTTCCTAGCCCGACAAAAAAGGTTAATGGACAAAAAAAATGGAAGATGAGGCTTCATCACCTCGCACCTAATATCTACTCACGACCTATCTAGACATTCAGGGAACAGGAAGTCCACACGCGAGGTATGGAACCCGAGTTGATCCACCATTGCAGGCTCGGCAGAGAACGATTTGCCGCCTTGTCACCTGATTGACAGCACCACGGGTGGATGTATCACTTCGCGGGAGCTGCCAGCCTGCCACAGTCAACGCACAGCCATAGCAGCAACTTCCGTGCAAGGGAACTACATGGTATCCAGTACTCATTGGTGCCTTACCTCCTGGTTCGACAATGGTTGATGTGATATTAATATAATGCTGCCAGTAGCAAGGCTATACGTACGAATGACGGGAAGATATTTATGTATGGGCTTACGCTGTCGTTTGGCCCGATAAAGCCAGTCAGTTAAGGCATGAAGTGCAGAAAGAAGATGGGCGAGGCGAACGGTTACTAAAAGACCCCGGATCCCAGTTAGCGCCTGCCTAGCGATATTACCTAGGGCGATACTTGCCGTTTGAGGCTTGGGGTTCGTTCGCCGTTGACAGATCCATCCGGATGGTCTGAGACTAATTGGCTGGAGCAGCCCATGGCCGTTGGGACTCGGAAATTTAATTAGATTGAGCAGGAACCAACCAGAATTAAGGAAAGGAAAACAAAATAAGAAAAAAAAGAAAAAAGAAAAACCTGAAATGGAAAAAATGGAAAAGAATTTTGAGAAGATGGGGAAAAAAGAAAAAGAAAAGGTAGCAAGAAGAGTCATCATCTTCCGAGAAGTATTTTATAGAATGTAAATGAATAATCTGAATTTTATTGACTCTTTTGTTTGTGACATCCTCCTAGCGGACGAAAGGGCAGCCCCCTCCCTTGTCGCCGTTTCGGCCGACGACGGGTGGTTAAAAAGCCTCCTCTGGGGACTTGACGCCGTCGTCGTTACGCATGCTCCCCATCATCGCCCGGTTTTGCCCTCTGGTTGGAGCTTCGAAGACCATTTCACATCCCAGTTTAGGGCGGTGGCATTCTCCACCTAGGGAGAGACCATGCTCTCCTGCTGTCTAATGGGATCTTTTTTTGTTCCTTCTTGATTTTTTCTTAGAGGCTTGCTTTTCTGTTCTAGCGATTACCCTAGAATTCTATACCGGGGTTCCCGGTTGTTCAAGGCCAAGTAAAAACACCCACCCACTACCTCCTTGTGGCTTAGACTGTTCACTTCCCTTCCGTCTCTAATAGTAACAATAATGCTGCCCCTCCTATGCATTCTCAGTGTACAGTGTACACACGACAGAGAACATGCCTTTTTGACGGTGTCTCTCTTTCCCCTTCAACAACAGAGAGATACTGAAGGAGTGAGTCAAACCAGAACTGGCTAGGATCATGTCCAACGGACTCCAAACGATAATGCGGTTTCGATTGAGATGCAGCAAAGGTATGTTTGATAGTTTGCTTCGTGCATGCTCACAAGGTATCTCTACATGGTAACTCTCCAAGTAGTAGTAGCTGTAAGTCCATACTCTGTCTAAAAAACAGACCTTTGTACGTCTAGGCATATGAACCATGCAATGGCCACTGCCGTGACCTCGTTCCGACCGGATGTCCCATTGCTAGCAACTTCGCATGATTATCACTATCATGATCGTTATTATCGGCTTTTGAAAAAGGTTTCGTATCCCAGATCGAGCTCATATGGTTCGGAGTCAGTAGGCCAAAATCTTGGTACAGGCCTTGTCGTAGGCGGGCAGGTACCTTAGGTAAGGCTAAAACGGTACTAAGTACTACTACTAGTAGGTCTGATTGCGTCCATCCTGTTTCGCCGGCCAACTCACCAACCAACCAACCGAGTCATTAACATGACCGAGGCTGGGCTCGAACGTTCTTCCGGAGAGGTTTGACCGCCAGTACTAAGGGCCTTCCCGTCAAGTATAGTACCCGGGAGTGGAACCGTTTTGATAATCATCGCCGGTTTGATAATAATAACCATTATTATTTGGTTATGTTCAGTGTGCCCGTTTGGATCCTTGTTTCTAATGGGGAATGTGGTGGTGATGATGATGATGATGATGTTGATGATGATGGAGGAGAGGTGGGGGGACGGGAAAGGAGAAAAGAAACGAAATGAAAGATGATCAAATAATTTTGCTGGTCAGTTCAGGCCTACTTGAAGATACTTACCTACCTGATACCGTGACCCTGCCATCGGGACACTGCTGGCTGGCTGGCGTGGACATTACTTACTACTTACGATTGGGCTGACTGATCCTTAAGAGGGGGAAATAACGGCTTTCCTCGAGGGGCAAATCAAAATGAAATGGCAGAAAAATAAAACAAAAAATAAAATAATGGTCACGGATAATCACCTATATTAATGGTTATTTATTAAACGGTTTCTCGAACCCACTGATCCTGGCCTCGCCTCTTCGTTAGCTTCATTTCCCTCCCCATAGGAGCATTATTACTGCTGAGCTTCTTATTTGCTGCGCCAACCAGCTGTCAACAGTCCCCGATGATCTCTCTTCTCATGCATCTCCAGACGTTTCATCTGTCTCGTCTGGCCCTTTCTCCCTTTCCCTAACTCTCTTTTCCCTCCCGTCTTCAACCTCTTCGCATCTTCTTCGGCCACCCTCCTTGACTGCCGGGCCTTGCCTTCTGTTTTGACTTCTCGTGACGACTACTACTATATCTTGGGTCCCAGGACTACTAGTATACCTGGACTGTCGGCTATATTTGCTACCTACCCTATTCGCTGTCGCCCGCTTAACGTTATCGGCCAGCCTTTCTATCGGACATATCAAGTTCTCTTGTCGACCTTAAAGACCCGTCGTCATACGGGATACTCGCTAGACGAATACTTTCGTCCGCATTCCCACTTTCTTCCCTTCTTTTGCCCCGAGGGCTTCGGAGATTTTAATTGGCGGTCTTTTCTTTCATACCCTACTGCTAGGTTATCGACGCTCCCGCAGTGCCACCGATACACTCGCCACTCCTAGTGGGTTTCGGATCCGAAGAAGCTCTAACAAGGCCACTTGCCTCACTGGTTGGGACATAGTTGGCATCCAGTTATCTTCTACCCTGTCTCCTGTCTATAGCTGATCTTCGCGTCTCCTCGTCTCCTCGTCTCCTACATCTTCGCCTCGTTCATTCTGTCTCTACATCTCGTCACACTGGGCTTCTGAAACATCAGGTTCCGCTTCAGCTCAGCCCTAGGTGAGACCATCTGTTATACAGCTTGGCATATGGTGTTTTCTGCTACACAACGTATCAATACTTGAGAAAAGAATTTTCCGTTGCGAACCGCGCATATGATTGCGTTACAAAACCAAGCCATCCTGCCTCCCGCCAAAGTGGATATCTCACTGCTATTGAAGCCCCAGGATGAAGAGGAGGCCGCCACGGTGACCACAGCACCTAGCTTCCCGCCCAGCGCGGTACAACAAGTCTCGGTGGCGCCAGCGATGCCAGTGGCGACTGCAGCATCGTTGTCTTCAGTACCTTCAGTTCCCCCTCTTACCTCCAAAATTCCAGCTACTGTCCCTGCCAAGCGCCTCCAGCCAGCCCATACAGCAGAATCGCCAGCGAAAAAGCAATCAAAATGGTCACCTGAAGAGGATGCCCTGATTATCGAGCTACGAGGGAGTGGAATGAAATGGGAAGACATTAGCAAGCGGCTTCCTGGCCGAAGTGCCATCAGTTGCCGTCTTCATTATCAGAACTATCTGGAACGCAGAAGCGAGTGGGATGAGGACAAGAAGAACAAGCTTGCGAGATTGTATGAAAGGTATGGTTGACTTGATGGCTATGCCGAGCCTCTAGATCATTAAAAGATGGTCGTTAATCGTCATTGCAGGTTCAAAGCAGAAATGTGGTCAAAGGTAGCCGAGGAGATGGCCATTCCATGGAGAGCTGCCGAAGCCATGCATTGGCAATTAGGAGAACAGGAAATGGCACGTCGAGCGGGAGTAGTCCCATTTTCATTGTCGAGCGCAGCCATAGATCCACCAGCGCCCAGGACACGCAGAGCCAGCACGTCTCTGTCTCGACCACGGAAGGGATCGGCCTCGCGTCCAATTCCTCCTCCGCCGCAACTTCCTTCTGTTGAAGAACTTACCGCTGGTGTGCCTGCCTTTGCGCCGCCCCCACCCTTTCCGGGTCCCCGTGAAGCTTATAGGTTGGGGCGACCCTTGGATCTGAGTGGCGGTCATGGTGGCCACATGGGGCCCAACCTCGGTCTCCCCCCTCGAACCCTCCCATAGAGGGCAGTATGAAGGAAACGATGTCTATGCCTGTGTGTTTTGCGTTATTACGAATTGCATAGCGCTGGTTGGAGGTATATCTTCTTCACTCATGGGAGGGCTTGTCATAGATAGCTCTTCCGAGTGCTTGTGCGCGCGTTTTCCATTATCCTCGTCTGGCTTTGATCTTCCTACACATGAGGTTGCCTTTGAAAGGAGTCCTTAACTTGACGAAACCAATGCTCGTGTCATCATTCCTGTCGCGCGTCGTGCTATGCAGATGTGGAAGACCCGCCTCGAGGCTGGATTTCGAGGATCTTACAGCATCTCATGCATCTCATGATGATTCTGCCCCTGTCCGCGTCGCGATGGCCCACCAGTTGTCTTTTTCATACCCCGATTCCAGGACATGGCCTCCTGCCCTGTTGATGTCCTGCTCCAGTTCATAGGCCTCATAAAGATGGTAATACCGATGAAACACTTTTGGCTGGTCAGGTGGAGTGTCTGCGGAAGGAGTTCCCTTCATGACCCAGGGAACCATTATATCTTGCGGGTCACCTTTGTCCCAGCCTCGACGGCTGTTTTTCTGTTCCAGGGCCCAAGCATAGATGAGAGCCTTCCCACCCGCAAAACCTTCGGCGGCTGGCTTCAACGTGCGCAGGATTTCGCGAATGGCTTGGACTCTTCGATCTGGCGTGGACAGGTGGTGGATCACGGCAATGGAAATGGCGAAGTCAAAAAAGGAATCCGGGTGTGGGAGGTGAAGAATATCAGCTACGATGGTGGAGTGCGGCTGATGCTTTTGAGCAATGCGGGCCAGGTTTGCGGATCTGACATGGATTGATCAGCCATGATGTCCCTGGGGTTCTGGAAATGAATGACATGAGGATATTCATATACAAAACGCTGTAAATAGAAAGAATGACATTGACATTGAACCAAGTGCGGAGGAGGCCTTACCTGTCCGAAGCAACAATGAAGACATCCCGGTTTACGGCCAGATACTTGCCATTCCCGCATCCCACATCTAATCCGATGGCTCCAGGCTTCAAATCCTTGAGGAAGCGTTCCACAATGGGCCAAGGCTGTTCTTGATGGGTTAACGAAGGATCTTTCACGGCTCTCTCGAGAGATTGTACCTTGTAACGCGTGGAAGAGAAATGGCTGGCAATTTGCTGGTATACTTCATGGACATTCTTCTCTTCGTAACCTTCTTCATCCCCTTGGGGTAGGGTTGCCAGAGCTGGGACGTTGGGTGATGACATTTTTTCCCCTCCCTATCTCACTCGAATCCTGCAGGCACTGGAGTCTATCCCACGATAGAAATCTACCTGTTCTACAAGAGTCTAGGCCGCTTCTCTAATGCGGGCAAATGGGCTGTCCGGTGGAAGCAAGGTAAAGTAGAAATCGATCGACTTGTGGAAAAAGGCCTGGGGAGTCGAGGGAGGAGCAGTAAGAATGCACAGAAAGAGCGGAATTTCCCCTCCAAACGTCATTCTCCCCTTGTACGATACCGGTATGACTGATACCCCTCCGCCGTACTCAGTAGTTAGTTAGTTAGTTACAGGTCGTTACTACTTACTAATCGCGCTCCCGCAGTAACTAACGTAAACCACAATCGCGCGGCCCATACAATCGCGCGGCCCAGCTTGTAATGCCATACAAAATCTATTATTTTTTAGAATTATTATATCTCAACAAATACACTTTTTATGAGACTATAAGGCTATATAGAGCCCAATAACTAGAAGATAAGTATTTTAGACTTATTCAAAAAAAATTAAAAAATTTTTTATAGGAAATATATAGACTATCTTAAAATACGAGTAAAATATATGTATTTTATATTACCAGCTATTATATGTAGTTATAAAAATCTATAAAAAATATTAAAAAAGAATTTATAGTCACTATAGTCTATATACTCAATATAAAGTTCTATACTGCTTAAATGGTTAAGATATTTCAATTATCAAAAGTGGTTTTTATATAGCATTATTAGCTGGGCCGCGCGATTGTGGTTCACGTTACTGCTGACTCAGCATACACACCACGTGCCCATGGACACCAGGACGCGGCATATTAAACTATTGAATGGGCCGTCGGAATGAGATCCAACGCACTCAAGCCAGTCCTTTTTGGCCTTCCGTCCATATAGCCACAGCGCCTTAGCTCTAGCCGCCTCAATTCAAGGAGACGTCCAACTGAGCCATCTGTTTACTTCCCACCAAGAATTGTGAGTAACCAAGGTCCGCCTTGGCCGTCCATGCCGTACATTTTTCTATAGTGGAAGCATCTCGTGGCTAGGTCACGTCTATCATTCTGTATGGTCTGATATCTACTGCTTCTACACTTAGCATTAAAGGCCATTCGTGTCGCCTCCTTCCTCTACTGCACTACCCGCTTGCTTTTATTTTAGACCTCACTTCGTCTAACTTGTGACACAGACTCAATCAAGCCCCCAGTCTGCAAGAGGGACAGAAGACAAACAGTTGGTCATTGGGGTCAATCGATCCTTCATTTATTGTAATTCAGTCCTGATTGGGGCGGGATCGTTCTAAACCATGGCTTTTCAACCCACCCCGGCGGATATCTCCGTCGCCATTACCACCCCCACGGCAAGCTCCAGTGCCGAGCCACGCTTGTTAACAGAGCGTCGCATTACTCCAACATGGACTGTCATGCAGCTCAAAGGCAAACTTGAAACCATGACCGGCGTGCCTCCCAGCAATCAACGACTGCTACTCAAGTCCCCAGGTCGCCCCGATCAATGGGTTGAAGGCGATAACACCATCATCGGCGATTGGGGTCTGATGAAAGGCTGCGAGATCGAGGTAGGTCCTACTTCTTATTTGCTTCTGTGTTTTTGTTTCTGGAGCCTGCGGCACCGGGTATTATGTCTTACTTCCTTGGAGCCATTGTTTTGGCTCAGTCTCGTTGGGCGCTCCTCACTCCTGACTAGTATACCAATCATGTACCCAGTTGAGACCGTAAAGTTGCTTGGGAATTTGCACCGGAGTGTCCCAATTTATTTTCGCGTCTGGGTTCCGATGCACAGTCTATGTCTATAGAAACGATTATTGATGCAAGAGATACCCTTCCATTAGGTGCATGACTCTCGTCCTCAATCGGTCCGGCCCAACTTCAGCGACCTATCGTCCGTTGAAAAATATGTTCTTCCCACGTCCACTTACGAATCGCTCTCGAACTCGGTTTTGGCCTGGAAGAAGAACCAGAAACTTGGCCGGTTCGATCCAAATGCTCTAACGCCAGAGGAGTCTCTGCGCCAACAATCAGTGAAAGATGCCGCCGAGATCCAACAACGGGGTGAGTAGAATCCGTGGATTTACTTGCTCAAGGAGTTCCGGATACTTGGAAGGTAGTACTCTGCTAAAAACCTACTGACGCATGTAGGTATTGCCGTTACTCAACGTGCCATTGTCTTGCCATCGTCCCCGCCCCATATTCGCCGAGGCACTGTTCGCTTTATTGGACCCGTGCCTACAATTCCTCATCCTGGCGTGGACCCTAAAATTGCGCAACTGGATGCTGGGGCTCTTCCTCTATGGGTTGGAATTGAGCTCGATGAGCCGTTAGGGAAGAACGATGGCAGTGTAGGCGGCCAGAGATTCTTCACATGTCCGAATAAGACGGGTGTCTTCGTGAAACCCGAGAAAGTCGAGGTGGGAGATTTCCCGCCGCTTGAATTCGATGACTTCGATGATGAGTTGATGGAGGAGATATGATACGTTCTCCCGGAGCGTCAACCATGAACACAAGACAGCAAGGCTATTTGCTACAATGTACTACTATCTCCCTCAAAAGGTATTCCGATAAATCTATAACTCAAGCCCGTTGCTTATTGATAGACCATTATCAGAAAGAGAGGGGGAAAAGAAAAAGGGGTGGGGGGAGAAGAAGAAGAAGAAGAAGAAGAAAAAGAAGGAGAACCGAGTAGGGACGAAGCTATGAGAACGTAAGCACACTTCCATCCCAACAGTTTCACGTAACTAGTTCGCTAATCCAGAGATCGAAGCCCTATAGCGGGCAGGATATAGGTGGTGAATGTTTCGAAAAGATAGGAGAACACGGTAGAGCGGACCAATATTGAAGCAGTAATTACGCTGCTTTACGCCCGCCGGCTTTCTGTTTGCCCCTGGGTCTGCCCTTGACGCCGGTTGGACGTCCCGTTGGTGTACTGGAATCACCATCCATGGCACCGGGTTTAGTTGCCGACCCGGGGAGAGAATCGTCGTCGTTCGTAGGAACGCAACCTTGTGTGAAGAACAACCGGGCATCTTTATTCTGTGTGTTGGCAAAACTGTAATAGTTGCCTTGAATCTCGGTCAGATCTCCATCGATACGGAACGAAGGTTGCCTCTTTCCAGCAAAGAGAGCCACTGATGGAATCAACTCACCTCTCGGAACCTGGAATACACAGCCCTTGCCGGCACTGAATCGGACACCAGAGACATCTACTTGCACCCGGCCCTGGCAGATGTAGAAGACCATGTGCATCTTCTTGGAATTCTTGGGCTTTTTGACCCCGCCAGGCGGCAATTCAACGATCCCAGAGCCCAGAAAGGGGGAGCTGAGAAGTTTTGCAAATCGCCATGAGGAATCTTTGACACTCCTTGTCTCCATCCCAGCCGGGGCATAGGCAAGGTCTGCGAATTATAAGTTAGCGCTTGGCAGTCGTTTTGAAAGACGGCACTCATCACGTATGCCCAAAACATACCAACGATATCTTCTTCCTCACCAACTGCCTGAGCCTCCTCGTCCCACTTCCTTATATAACCATGCAAAATCCCGGTCTCTTTCTCCCAAGGATCAACGTATTCTCCTTCGTCATCTGAATCGTCATCCTTGTTCTTCCTGGATTTCGAGTTCTTAGTAGGGCGGCGCTTATTCAATTTGGGTTTCTTTGGCTCAAGTTCTTCTGTGCGTATGATCTCCTTGATGGTTGAAAGCGGATACCGCTGGCCCTCCGCAGCTTCGCCGTCGCCATAAACACACCGTTCGTTTCGCCAGTAAGCGAGAGGTCTGACCGAAACACGTCCTGATCGCGTATGAGTGGCAGCGCCATCTGAAGGCACTTCGCGCTTCAAGATATAAAGGCTCCGGCCCTTCAATGGCCCTGTGCGATTGACATAGCTCTCCACAACCTTATCTAATTCCGCATTACCCGACGGGCTGGGGTTTCTATTATTCTCATCAGACATCCTGGGTTTTTTCGTCGGCCGTTGTTCTTCGGTTTCGTTGTTAGGCTTGCGTTGAGCCCTGGGAGGTCTTCCAGGACGTTTGCGCTTTTGTGTAGGCTCTTCCTCAGTCTCATTATCCTGTACTGCGGTGGATGCCCCGGCTCTTGCACCTTGGGTGCCTCTCTTAGCCTTTGAAGCAGGTTTGACCTGCCCTCTCTTGTTGCGCGATTCGGAAGCCACGGTTACTGGCGAGTCCAGGTCGGCGCCATTCTCATCTGGTTCATCTGTGTGGTCGGCCATCAAGACGTCATCGCCGGCGTTGAAACTGTCGACAAAATCATCGTGTATCCGTCCATAGGAATGTCGGTTCTCATCGGTGTTTAGCTGACTGTTGGCATCACTGTCAGAAAAGCCGGAATCCATCACCTCCTCGGATATCTCCTCATTCAGCTTATTGTTTCGAGCGCCATTGATATGATTTAAAGACGGTGCCGCATTTATGGAACGACTAGTAAGTGGAGATACATCTCGTCTTGATTCGCCCCTCGCACTTCCCAGGCCCTTCCCATCTGAAGGACTGGAATATGAAACGTCGCGTTGCGGACTCTGAGAAGACCGCAGGCCAGGAGTTCTCCGCGGGGAGCCAGTCAGTCCGGTCTTCATTGGCGAGCGCGCAACGGGAGGTGGGAAATAAGAGCTACGTCTGCCCTTTAGAAAATCAGCGGGACCTGGTCCGTTCCCTGTCAATTAGACACTCATCGTCAGCGCCTAGCTAGAAAGACGACAATCTGTGAACTCACCCTCGTCCATGGACATGCCGTCCGAGCCGATGGAGGTCTCGTTCCGGTTACCGAAGCTGAGCTCCTTAACGGGAGAGGTCTCGGGGGAAGAAAATATTCCTTCAACATCTTCCATCCCATGTTCGTCACGCTTTCCTTCCTTTAACACTATACCCGTGCGCCTGTACCAGTCACCTGCATCAGCCTTCAGTGTAATGGGTGGACGAGGGTTGAAGGAGCGCAGGGGATGAAACAGGTATCAGACAGTGCGAATACAAAACAGCTCCGATGATACCGACCTTCCAGCTTTGCCAACATTGGCATAATCGTACTCGCGAGCCTTCGCAGGCCCTCGGGGAGCCATCGTTGCGGAGCCTCGGGAGCTGTATGCGGTAGGATAGCTTCAACGGGAGGGAACCACGAGGGGTCGAACGGGGTGTGGGACGCGTATGGATTCGGCAAGCTGCGCAAGGAATCGGCCGGGGCGAGCGGAAGTATGCGACTGCAAGAGACAGCAGCAGGTGCAGTTTGAAGGAGAGGGGAAGAAAACCCAGGTTGGGGATGGGGAACGAATGCTGCTGCGGAGGGGAGTTGGAATCCGTGAGGGCGGCGAACAAACACGCGCGGATCCGCCGCTAGTCCGGAACCGTTTGGGACGCGTCCATCGCAAACCCTCCCTCCGGTCGACACTTTTCTCTCCCGGGTCGTCGTACTCGCAATTGCGCTGTAACAGACGAAAAAGAAAAATGGCCGACCCTGCCCAGAGTACGCTCGGACGGACGCAAGATGCTCTTGCCACGGCCACAGGCCTCTTTATCCCTCCCAGCATAGATCGCTCCCGACTACTCGCCGGGGAGTCCTACTCTTACTACTCCCCGTGTCCACCCGCCATCGCAACCTCTTTGCAGAACAACCTTGTTTTGGGTGTCGACGAGGCTGGGCGCGGTCCTGTTTTGGGCCCCATGGTCTACAGCGCATTCTACTTGCCACTTGACTTGCACCATACCCTCCTCGCTCGGGATTATAGCTTCGATGACAGCAAGGTTCTTACGCCCGGCTTGCGCGCCAATCTAATGAAGCTGCTGTGCTCCCCGGGAAACCCGCTCTACGAATCATGTGGGTGGGCCGTGAAGCTGCTTTCGGCGCGTGACATCTCCTCCGGTATGATGCGGCCTGGGGCAGGCGCTTATAACCTAAATGCACAGGCCATGGACGCTACCATTGAACTCATACGTGGGATTGTCGAGAATCAAAACATGAACGTTCGAGAGGTATATATCGACACGATCGGGAACCCAGCAACCTATCAGCAAAAACTCGAGAAGATATTTCCTTCCCTGAGGATTACTGTGGCGAAGAAGGCAGACTCGCTGTATCCGTGCGTGAGCGCTGCAAGCGTTGCTGCGAAGGTGACCAGGGATGTTGCGTTGGAGCTCTGCCATCAGAAGGTATATGAAAACTTTGTTGCGGAGGATTTATTGCAGGTGCCTGTGCCGCAAAGTTGGGGAAGTGGCTATCCCTCCGATTCCAAGTGTATCAATTGGCTAAGGGAAAATATGGACCCTATTTTCGGATGGGGCAACGAATGCCGATTCAGTTGGGGCACCGCAAAAGAAATGCTCGAGTTAAAGGGAAGCTCAAAGGTCGACTGGCCTGGATATGAAGAGAATACGCAGCTCAGGGACTTCTTGTTGACTTCCACCGGAAATGCCACAAAGGCCGAGCACGAACTGCAGGGATGGTACGGGTCGAGATCCGCCGAGGTTCTCTCATAAAGGTACCTGGAGATATTTCGCATCAGGCCCAAGGTCAGACAGGTGACGAAAATAATGATCAAATGTGATACCCAGTTTTCATTCGCATTGTGAATGCCATAAGCCAGATCTCGTTAAAAAAAAATAGTACATGATAACACACCGACCCGCAATATGAGAAAATGGCCTAGATTTGATATTAGAATGACGGAATGAGCATAGTAATCCATCGGGTATCAAGATTAACTGCAAGAAAACTTCCACAGAAAGAGACATAAAAAAGCCTGCAGAATGCAATGGCAAGAAAGGCGTGGCACGCCACGGATGCTGGCAGAGAACTCGTGGCTATAGCGTTGCAGTCGAGAAATAGTAACTATCCCAAAGGTACTCATAATCCTCGATTACACTGCCTGCCAACTCGAGTAAGGGTTTGCCCTTCATTCTGCTAGTCAAGGTATTTAGCCAAGATCTATTGAACGTTAGTATGATGTTTTGCGATTTTTGTAGGGGACTGCGGGCGAGTAATGCGAAAAAATCCGTACTTGGTTATATTCTCATAGAAAGCTCCCCGCATAAACCACCAGCCCATTGCCCACCCTCTCTTCCTCATCTCCTCTCGTTCCAGCCCGGTCAGTCCCCGAAGGCCACCCGCGACTCTCTCGCGGAGGTCGGACTTGGCTAATTGGCGACAGCCATATTCCATGCCGAAACCGATCAGCCAGGGTCTCCAGCTTCGCTTGTTTCTGCAATATCTTTGCATCGCGAGTGCATAGACTACTGGACGAAGTATATAAAGGATCTCTGCGAATTGACCTTGGCCAGTGACTCGATGCAACAGCGCCTTCGGTGGTTTGATATCGTCGGCCGTGAGAACTTTGGATATCAGATAGTTTGAGAGATCATCGACATCGGGCAGAGAAGGGAGCGACAACCCTGTGCGAGGCATGGTCCAGCACAGATCTGACGACCGCTCGCTGACGGGTGTCTGCATCCCATTCCAGTCGCCGTCTTTCTCTTCCAACGATCTAGGATCTACTTCCCGTTCAGGAAGTGGTGGGCTCACCAGTGGCCTAGAGTTCGTGAGGCGAAGCAGCAACAAGCGGCAGATCGCTTTGACGGCTTCGATTAAGATGATGATACGCCAGCGGACCTTTTCCCCACGACGCCGGGCAGTCATTTCCCACAGCAATTCCGTGTATTGAACCATCTGCAGAGTGAGGGCAATTTTTTGATATAGTAAAGAGTGAGAGGTCCAATATTTGGTATACCGCGCATGAGGTGATGGTGTGGGCCGAGGGCGGGTCGACGGCAGCCTGGAGATAACTCGAGAAACAAGGGAGTCATGATAGAGTGATAGAAGCTGCACCCCAGAGTGCACTGTGTGTGGAATTGGTATTAGGCGAGCGCTTCCATCGTCCGGACAGGGTCATTGTATAAACTCCTAAGCAACGTACCACACTCTGAACTAATCTCCGAATCTCGATATCGCCCTACAAAAAAAACCCGTCAGCGTTCCATGTCTTCAAAGAGACTTATATCTGGATCTCAAGTTTGTGTTCTGACCTGGGATGATATATGTTAGAGATCTCAGCGCTGACTCTACTTGGCCCACAGAGCTGGCGTTCTTGGTGACGAACTCCTCATACAACGGGAGCCATTTAGAAGGTTGCATCAGTGCGGCAGGTACCGGATTCTTGGAGCTCCATGAGGACTCCATTTCCAGACGGAGGAATGGTGGATATCAAGGAAGATAATTCAAGAAAATGGCTCTGAGACTCACGGGACGTTCTCAGTTGATGGCGTCGGCTGGGCTGGGAGGGTAAAGAGGTATTTAGTAGACCGAGGTAGGCAGACATGGATAAGGCACGTGTCCGGGCTCTGCCAAGACACTATACAGGAGTACGGAGTAGTGCGACGGACATAGTAAGTGCCTCCGCAACTGGGGTGCTCCGATCTGTAGTAAACTGCTGCCAGTGGTTTCCTAATATGTCGACAGCCTCCAGTGCAGCATCGCAAGCCTCAAAAACATATATATAGATAGGGATCAACCAATGGAGACCAACGGATGCAAAGGCAGCCGCCCAAGGCGTCTCTCATCTAATCAACTTTCGGATACTCTTCTGCAGTGTCTATCTACTCATACCACAAAGCGGGCCTCCCGATGTCTTATGCTCACTCATCTGCGAACTTCCAGAGGCCTCCCGGGCGCATTGCATCTCGATACCGGTCTTCCACCCTCTCCCTTTCCAACTTCCTTGCCTCTTCGTGATCACGTTGCAGTTCCTGTGTGTCGGGCATATCTGTGCGCCAGTATCCAGGTGGCGATCCCAGCCGCTGATGGTGATGTCTATGCTTCCCATACCGATTGGCAATGAGCCTTGCTTTCGCCGCTTGTAGAAGGTCCTCCCTTTCTTTACTACTTAGCCCGTCGAGTAGGTGTCTTTCACTTCCCAAGTAATCTTCCAGAATAATTCTATCGTCTTCTTCTCTCTCCTCTATGGATGTCACATTGGACGGAAGGCCACCAAGACGCGCCATGGCGTGGAACTTGTTGCCACAGCAGCTAGGACGCGTGCAACCACTTGCACACTTGCGTTCGTCTTTTGTGCGAATAACACTGTTAAATGCAAAATCGGCGCCTTGGTTATACTCTGGGTTAATCTTGAAATGATTGAGTTCAAGACGATGTAGGGGCCAGGCCCTGTAAGGTTTGTACACGGGATCCACGTCTATTCTTTCTGCTTGGCTTCTCGAAGACGGTGGTATGACTTGAATAGGCCCGCGTCGAATACTCGGTTCAGTCTCCCCCGGCGACTTTCCCAGGATCAAATCCGACTGTGCCCTCGCGTTATTGTTGCATGCCCGTAGCAATTCTTGCCCTGTAGAAGGGGGAGATGTTGGAACCATGCCGCTTTCTGTTGTGTCGTCTATCGCTTTCTTGGGCTGTAGGTATTGTTTAGCAGGTAAAGGTCCTTCAAGGAGACCTTCCAATCGTTGGACGGCTAATTGATCGCCGTTAACTGAAGTCGAGCGTAGAGGCTTGAGTTCAAATGCCGATGTGCCGGATCGCTTCGCTTTAGCGGGATTCGAGTCGCCCTCATCGCCATCCTCCGTAATTGAAGAAATGTGGTATTTCGATGTTCTTGCTGCCCCTCTCGCATCCGCTTTACCTATCCGGTGTGCATATCTATCAGCTCTTATGTTGCCATCGACTGACTGGAGTACATTGGGTCGTCCCAAAGGCAAATGATTCAAGGTTGGGTGCCAATGTATGTGAAGGGAGCCTATGCGTTGCGAATCAAGGGTAGGGGAAGCCGCTTGACGGGACTGACCATCCTTGTATCTCTTCTTCTTCTTCTTCTTCGTCGGCGTTTCAACTATGGCTCCGATTTCGTCTAAGTCCTGAGTCCCCATAGCCCTAGAATTCGACGATGACGTCTGCAAAGGGCTGGATGGCGAGCTCTCATTCTTGATCGTAATGAATCTTGCCGAATCACGGTCTTCATCGGCATCAACGTTGCCATAACCGACTATGGCTTCTCGATAAGGCGTTTCGGATGTTGCACGTTTTCTTTTTGTCGATTCGACGGAGACAGTTGATGCATGCTGAGCTGGAACTATAACTTCGTTTTCATTCGAGTCACCAGACTGCGTTGATGTTGTCTCTGATGGTGGATTCCGGCATGAAAGCTCATAGCGACCTCCTTGTTTATTTTCAACGTCCCCTTTTGATACGTTGTCATAAATATCTCGTAGAGGAGGAGTTTCTACAACAGAAGCTGAAACTCCTCGCATCATCGTATGAGTGACCGAGTTCCGGGATTCTGCCAAATAAGATATTGACATGGCGGGTAATAGTGATTGATCATCATTTGTGCGCTTCCTAACGCGCTGGAAATCAACTGCTACCCCGTCAAGCACCAACGTAAAACTATCGCGGTCAAGGCTCTTTCGCCAATGGGTCAGCTTCCTCTTGTGGCGCTTGACTTGTTTCCGAAGTTCACCAGAAGCTTTCATGAGTGTCTGGGCTTCTCTGTAAAGAGATGCATACTTATTACTGATGGCCTTAACGTCAGCAGAGCTGTATTTCACAGCACCCATGGGGTTGGCATGAATGGGTTTTAGAATATGATGCGGCGCGTACGTCGCCTCTAGTTCAAGGGACTTCTCGGCAGTAACTTGATCTCCCCCTGGCCCAAAATTGCTGAGACACAGCTCGTCCTGTAGAAGAGCAATCTCATCTTTCAAAGCCGCTACTTCGGCAATAGTTCTCTCTCGCTCTTCTTCTGCGACCCTAGTTGTGTCCTCGGCGGCATGCACCTTAGCGTCCCGAAGAGCAAGCTCCTGGTGGAGATCTCTGTAGGCATTCTCGAAGTGGTCCCCAAAGGCCTGCGCAACCGAGGCGTGAAGCTGCTTCAGTACCTCCATTGATGAGGCTTTGGCTACACATGGAAGAAGTCTCCCGAGACTCTTCGTGTGACATAGGCGGCTAATAGACGCGACTGGACGCGACTATCGATTTAGTACTAGTATGGACTCGTACGGCGGTTAATAGCGGCCATCCTGCAAATGTGTTGAAGTGCTTTCACCGCCTAGTCTACCGCATCCTTAAAAGGAACTAGAAATACACTGTACGTAGAATCCTAATTATATTCTTTTATCTATCATGCCTTCTTTCATTGACCTTGAGTCTTTTAAGGCTAAGATTATTAGCTTATTCCATCAGAATTATTTAGCTAGTGATATCGCTTTAATTATTCAGAAGAAATACTATATCAAAATTCATGAACATATAATCTAGAGCCGATTGAGTGGTTAGGATATTAGTAAATATGATTATATAACTATTACTAATTCTTCCTTATATAATTATCTTAAGGAGTTGTTCTACTAATAATATTTTTTAAATTTTAAGCTTCTACATCTAGATACAATGACTTTTCTTTTATATTACTATTTATTTAGTGTATGGGAAGAAGTATATACCAACTACAAGTAGCCTGATAAAAGATTGGAATACTCTATACGGGATGAGATATAGATAAATATATAAGAAGATATTAGTATTACTACTATAAGTAGGAGATTAATAGGTAGAATTACAAGTAATTCTAACCTCCTAAATAAGGAAGAAAAATATAATAGAAATCAGCCAATCCTTATAAAGAAGACTGGGGATAAGAATAATCTTATTATCTTATAAATATGTATAATTTATTAACTAATATTAGTATTAGATAACTAATTAGTTATCTAATCTTTAGCTTTCTTAGCTAGGATCCATAGCCTCTTAAATCCAACAAATTTCAAAACTTCATATCTAATAATTAGTACTAGTACTAGTACTAATACTAGTACTTCTAGTTATATAAATTCTGTATACAACTGTGATAGGATTTATTTATTAGGATAGAAGGCTTGTTGATTAAATAAGGAATTAGTTACTAAATATGTAGAATTCTACTGGTAATAATAATATAACTTATATTTATATAGAAAGACTGATCCTTAGAGGATTAATAGTCTAATACTAATAAATATTATTTTATAGTAAATAAGGAGATCCTGAACTACTACTAATAATTTTATAATTATTATAGTTATCCTAGTATGTCACCCAAAAGCCCTAGATTATACTAACTAGACTATTATAGAACTAAAACATTAATCAGACTAGTATTAATAAAATAAAACCTCTATTTAAATTATTCTATTATAATTATTCCCTCTTTTGCTGAGCCGAGTCTTTTAGCTCAGGAAGCTATATATAAATAATTTTAAAATAAAAATATAATATAAAGTAGAGAATATATCTCAAAATAATTATTAATATATTTTTATAAAATAAAAGGAATATAAAGTACTATAATATATTTATATTTATTATTATAATTATTATAGTTAGAATTAGTGAATAGCTTTATTTTAATACAGTAATAGTCTATTATAATACTAGTATTAGTATTATTATTTTTCTTTTTTTTTATACTACTTTTATCCTTTATAATAATTTTATTTATTTATTATTATAATTCTTTTAGCAGTCAGTATTTATATTATATTTTTATATCTTTTTATTACTATCTATCTAAAGATTTTATTATAATATTTTATACCTGTAAAATTATAAAGCAGTATACTACTTATAATTTAATAATTAAACTTAAATATCTATTTTATATATATTATCTTTAGTTTAATTTAAAAAAATATAAAGTCGCTGCTGGTATTTTATTTATTATTTATTATATTTTTAATAGTAAAACCTTGATCCTTTACCAACACTATTATAAAAAAAATAAAAAATATAATTTTATAAATATTTTATATATTAATATATTATTTATTTATTAATACAATTAAATATTGATAAAAATACTAAATAATACTTATAATTTAATAAATATTTTTTAGTAATTTAACAAGTTATTAAAAATTAAAAATTAAAATAATAAATTTTTTTATATTTATTATTAGAAGATACAGACTTCACTACATAAATTATAATAATAACTATTCTATTTTAAAAGATTATAGATATAATTCATGAACGCTTCTCTAATATTTTAACATTCTCTAATAGTAATTTAAAGAATAAAAAAAATAGAGAAAAAATAATAATAATTTAAAAAATTTAAATTATTTATAATAATTTCCCTGTATATATTCCTGCTATTTAATAAATTTATTAATATTTAATATTTATTAATATTTTAATATTAGTTTAGAGATATTACTAGTTAAATATATATAAATATTCTCTATTATTTTATATAAAATAATATAATATATTTTTTAGCGTATTTAGCCTATAGTTAGAAGAATTAAAGAAAATTATATAATTTAGTATATTTATAACATATATATCTAATATAAGGATTATTTAATAATAGTTTTCTATAATTTTATTAACTTTAATAGTCTTTGACATTTCTTTTAGTAATTCTTAATATATTCTTATATATTAACTATATTTTTATTAAAGATTTATTAATTATATTTACTAGGCTATTCTTTCCATTTAATTAAATAATAATCTTAGTTATTATATTATTAATAGTTTTTAACTTTTTTAATTTCCTATTTTTTCTTATTATCTAGTTCTAGTATTAATAGTATTTTTTTATAATTTATATTAATATTCTACAGCTCTAACAATGAGATATAAAATATATTATAAATTTATTTATATTTATTAAGTAAATATAAGTAATATATTTATAATCTAATCTATTTTAGAATTTAAAAAAGTCTTATAAATTTTAAAGCCAGCTTTTTTAATTTCTTAAGCTATAGATTCTAGATTAATAATTTAACTAAATCTCTTTCCTTAAAGTAAAATAACTTTTTATACTTATTATAATATTTTTTTTATTTTTCTATAATTATTTATTATATTTTTTAGAGTTATTTTTTTACTTATCTAAGTTTTTTAATTCTATCTTGTATAATTAGGATCTCTTACTATTAAAAATTATTCTCAATTCTAATATAGAAATCTGGTAAATAATTATAGAAAATTTTATTAAATAATTATTTAATAGTTATATTATCTATATTATTATAAATAAATTAAATGGTTAGTAATATTATAATTTAATTTATAAAAAATTAAATAAAATAGTATTTTAAATAATATTCTAAGGTTTAGTTCATTCTTTCTATTTAGTTATTAGTTTGTGAATAAAATATAGTAAAAAATTTTAAAATTATATAATTATTATAATTTAAGTCTAACCAAAATTTACTAGTAAATATTAAATCTTAATTAAATATAATTTTATTAAGAGGTCCGAATATTAGTTTAACTTATTAATAGAAAAATTCAGCTAGATTTAGAATTATTATAATTAATAAAATAGTAAAAAAAAAAATAATATTTTAAAAATCAATTAATAATAACAAGAATAGAGTTAATAGTTTATTTATATTAAATAATTAAAAATAATTTTATAATAAAATCTATTAACAATTCTACAAAGAGATGGGAAGAAATTAGTAATAATTTAAGATTATTATATAGTTAATACTTTAGAATTATATTATTTTAATATATTAGATAAATTTAAATATATTTAATTATATTTTTATATAATCTACTCCAGTGGAATTTTTTATATAATAATATTTCTATTTAAGTTTTTCTAAAGTATCCTGCTAACAGATTATTATAATATAGATAAATAAATATTTAATATAATATTTTAAAAAATAAAATATAAAAATAATTTTTAAAATAAATATAGCTAGTAGTTTTAATAGTCTAATACTTTTAATCTAATTATTCTTATTAAATAGTAAGCTTTTATTATTAAATTTTTAGATCTTTATTCTATAAATATAAGATTATTTTTTAAAGTTTAGAATTATATTTATTTAAGTATAAAATTTTTATAGTATACATATATATTACTATAGATTAGAAAATAAATCTTTCTTAAAATAAGTTTTTTTAAGTAATTTAGTTAGCTATTTTTATATTAGCTTAATTATTAGAGTCCTTTAAACTTAATATTATACAGGTATTAAACCTAGAGTAATCTTATATATTTTAAGATTTAAATTAAGATTTTATATTTATTAAATCTTTAATTATTAGGGATAACATACTTATAAAATATTTTTAAATTAAAATTAAAAATTTTTTTTAAAAAATAGATTCTATCTAGGATCTAGCAAGTATTCTAAAAAATCTATTTACTAAATTTAATTTTTCTATCCTATATTTAATAATAAAATTAAAAAAAATTAAATTTATAAGTTATTAGGCTTGTCTCCTATTAACTCTAGTCTAGCATATAAATAATTATAAGTTTAAATAATTAGATAAGATCTTAATTATTTAAGAAGTACCCTTGAGATATTATCACTATTATTTAAAAAAATAAATAATAATAAATAATTTCTAATTTAAAATATTATAATTTAGTTTAACACCAGAGAACTTACAAGATTAAAAAATAACTAGATAGAATATATTTTTATTATTAAATTAGGATAGGATTCTATTTATCTCTTTCTTAGATATATCTATTTCTAAATATTAAGGTTTTATAGGATTAAAATATATTAATAAAGATGCTTACTGAAAAGCAATAATTAAATAATAAAATATTATTTATTTATATAAATTTAATTAAATTTTTTCTAGTTTTTATTTATTAATTACTTTATAAAATAAAGAGATAAGAAATAATATAATACAAAAATAATTTTAAATAAACTATTAATAAAAATTATAAAATCTTAAAAAGACTTAGATATTATAATAATTTTTAAATAATAATTATGAAATAATATTATTTACTTAATAAAAATCTATAAATATATTATTAATATTAATAATATATTCTAGAAATTTGACTTACAATTAATAAAATAAATACTTTAATAATTTTATATAAAACTCAGCTTTTCAAAGTCTTTTT